GGACACGTTTCTGCTACTCTGCTGATTTAAAGCTAGACCATAACAAGGGACGTTATCACACGGGGAGTCGCGGGGAGAAAGTGGAAATAAACGGGCATGAGCAGATGTCTTTAATTTACAGGATTTGTCCTGTTCCACCTCGTCTGATACCTAAATTCGAATTTAAAAGGGGGTTAATTTGAACGAAAACCTGACCTTTTCATTTTCGGGATTTTTGAGGAAATGAAAAGATCAGGTTTTTGTTCGAATTAACCCCCTTTTAAATTCGAATTTAGTTATCAGATGAGGTGGAACGGGACGAATCCCGTAAATTAGAGTCTTCCGCTCGTCCAGTTTATTTCCACTTTCTCCCTGCAACTCCCCGTGTGATAACATCCAGGCTTGGCTTTGGTATTTTTGATATTTAAATATTTTTGTTTCCTTAACAAAGGATGAAGTCTTAGGAAACTTGAATAGCCCCACACATCAATGGTAAGTTTGTTTCAGAATTCTCTCTCTCTCTCTCTCTCTCTCACACACACACACACACACTTTTTCTTAAAATATTTATATTTCATCCTGTATTGAAAAATCAGGGTGGCACACAATAAAATCAAATTAAAATGTAAAACATTAAAAAGCTAATTTACAGTCTAAGAAATATATCAGATAACTAATATATTAAAACCATGTACATAATTGATATCATTTGACCTCAAAGGCTTTAATAAAAGGCAGTGTTTTAATTTGACACTGAAATGAAGGCAACATCATGCTCATAAAGCCTCTTTGAGGGCATTACACAGCCAAGGGGCCACAACAAAGAAGACCTTTTCCACACAATGTATTGCCTCCCACTAGTGGGGTACAAAGAACTGCAGACCTCTGACCTTGGGCCAGGATATACAAGATGATCTTTCAAGTATCAAGAGCCCAAAATGTTTACAGCATGTTATAATCAGAACCTTGTATTCAGGATGGAAGTGTATGGGAATCAGTGCAATTAATTCTTTTAAGACTAATGTTACACAGCTGCTGGGATGTGCAGTCCAACAACTGGAAGGTCACATTCTTGCTTTTAGGGGGTAACTAAGTTCAAACACTTTAGCTTAGGCTTCCCCACAAGGACCAAGAAAAGGCAAGGGTAGTGAGGTTTGCGTAAGTGCTGCAAATAATCCATACTGCTGTGGGAGAGGACACAAAACAGCCTAGAGATCATGGCTTCATAGTGTTTAGGTTGGCTAGGAAAAGCAAAAGTTTTGTGGTGGAATTGGTTATCCAGAGAACACAGAAACTCCTTCCTCAATCAATAAATTTACATTATTAGAACAAGTATGTAGCACAATGACTTATTTCACATCCAAGCCAAAGGAAAGCTACCTCCAGCTCATTAGCATTTCATCTATTACGGGGGTGGGTGGGTGATGGGTTCAAACAATAAAATCTATTGAAGAGAAATCATATTAGGGGATAAAGTGTGCATTACCTCCATTGTTCTATTTACAGGAAAGCTAATGCTGCATGGAAGATAGAAATCTGTTTGATAAATGTTGAAAATGCCTTATTTAGAATAAAGATCTTACATGCATAGCTTTCAAACAGCTCATTGGTAAACTTTAAGACATGGTTTCATACCCTCCAACTATCCCAGTTTAGCAGGGACAGTCCTCTGTTGTACCACTTTTTCATCTGCTCTCAAAATGTCTCAGTTTCTCCTACTTTCCCCTTTTGTCTTCAGCCTACTTCCAAGTTTACACCCAGCTCAGCAAGAGGGAAAGGAGAGGGCTGATTCTTCCCCTTTCCAGTGGGCTCAGGCAAAAGCAAACTGCTGCTGAATCTAGTTTTATGTATTTTCCCTCATAAATAACATTTGCCATTACAACCACACACTGATGTTGCTTGGCCACGTGTGTCCTAGTTTTAATCTGAAATGTTGAAGAGTATGTGCTTTTCCTAAAATACTTTAGTAGGATTTCTGACAGTTGCATCATGCTTCAGTGCTCAAATACTGACCATGACATGAAATACTAAATTTAACTAACAGATCCAGTTCTGTCTGCATGATACACAGCTTGCATCAATCAGGCAATAGAACCAAGCAAAAAATTCCATGACAAATTCTTTGAATGCTGTCTCAAGACAAATGTTGCTGATTAAATCCGTTATGTAACTAAGTATGCTGCACTGTGCACTAGATGGCAATCTGCTATACTTCAGACCTTAAGAAAACATGTTTTTACCATAATGTAATGAAATACTGCAATAGCTACATGAATCACCTCTTCAAGATTATTCAGATATTAATCATGCTTTCTAAGCAAATGCCTGAAACTATCAATCCCATGATTATATTCCATTACTACAACTTGACGTTAGTTGCCTAATGTTAAAGTCCCAGTGCTTTATATTTTATAACACAAAATTGCTTTCTAGATAAGATAATGATAAGATAAGCCAGTGTCGCCAGCTGTACAAGAATCCCAGGGACTCCAGTCAACTACAAAAATGTGAAGGTTAACGAAGGCAGCTGGAATTTGAAGTCAAGATTCCTAGATTATAAATACTTAAACCTTCCAACTACTCTCAGACTCAAGGCTCTCAAACAGCAAACCAGCTTCACGTGTGCAGCCATAGTCTATTTCAAACCATGTCTAAGCTGTTAGGTGCATACCCTCCAGGATTCCACAGATGAAAACCAGAAAACAGGAAGCCAAACAACACTGAAGCATGGTCAAAGTGGCAAAAAAATATTAATGAGAAAGAACAGACAAACTGGGAGAAGCTGCAACAGTTTGCTTTTGCCTGAATCTACAGGGAAGGACAAGATTCCACTCCACTCCTTACCACCACCCCAAGTTAACTAAGTACAGTGGTCCCTCCACATTTGTTGGTATTAGAGATGAAGGAACCCTGTGAATGTGGAAAAACTGCAAATAAAAAAACAGTTTTTACTTGAGAGAACACCTCTCTAGGAATCTCCAGGTCCTCCAGTGCAACTCTATGGTCAACATCAGGCAGACGTTGACCATAGAATCATGTTGGGAGGACCTACAAATGCCTAAAAAAGTGTTTTAGGTTCACCAACACACTTCTGGCAGAACTGCGCTGAAGGACCTAGAGATTCTTAGAACATATTAAAACCGCAAGTAATCAAAGCCGCAAAAGTCAAAGCTGCAAATGTGGAAGGAAAACTGGACAGAGTACTTTTACACTTTCAGTTCAGTTTACAACAATGGAAGACCCCCAAAAACAAAGAAGGCAGGTAGATGAGAAACTGGAGAAGTGGGAAATATGTGGTCCTCCAGATGTTGTTTGATTGTAAATCTCTGCATGTCATACATACCTTTAGATTTGCCAGCTATGGCTGCTGGGATGCAGTCAAACAAGGGGAAGGTCACTTGATTCTCACAAGTGCAGAACAGCAGTCTTTGAATGAAAATACTATAAAGGTTTATTAGAAAGAGAAACAGCAGAATTGGAGTATATCAACAAACTGCCATGGGCTGAACAGAGACAATGGTTTCCTGGCACACTGCACACATTAAAACAGTATTTCGCAAACTTTGTTCTCCAGGTGTTTTGGACTTCAACTCCCAGAAGCCCTAGCCAGTTGGGCCGATGATCAGGAATTCTGGGAGCGGATATATGTATGTATAAGGTGTACATGAAACATAATTAATTTCATCTTTAAGCTTGAGTCTTGTCTCCAAGATCTCATGTGTATGAAAATGTTCCCAACTCTTAGACTGCATGGAAATGGATAAACTGACATACTTAAAAATAAAGCAACAGAAAATTACACAAAGAATGGACGTCTGTAATAGAAATAATTAAGATAAACATTCAAAATCTATAAAAGAAAAAAAGGGGGGGAAGCATGAAAGATGATAAGCCTCCTAATCGAAAATAAAACAGACTTAAGAACGGAGGAAGGAAAATAGAAAATAAAAGAAGCTGAGGTTGATGAAATACACAAAGGGTCAAGGAAATTTTTTTTTAAAAAAGAAACAAATTTAACTGGATTATGATTAATAAATGAAAAGAAAAGAATAGATACTCAGAAGTCATTTTATTTGAATGAAAGACTTTTAGTTGAGGGTAGAATAAGTGATGAATGCATTGTTTGGATGTAATTAAAGTGTCTGTTTTTGTCTTTTATATTTGTCTTTTTAACCCTATATGGAAAATCAAGAGAGATTATTAATAAAAAAAAAAAGAAAATGTTCCCAAATTCAGGGGGAAAACACATCCCAAACGCTTATTGTTCCAAAAATTACATGTAATATAGCTGTAAATAAATTATATGAAATGAATGTATATTTATAATGTTTTTAGCTTTTAAGAATGCCCAACATTTTTCTTGAATGTCCTACATTTTGTAGTTCCTTGCCTCTTTTGTGGTTATGACACCTGGTCACCCTGCTCCTTTTCCAGGGCATATCCTACATTTCAACCTTCTGTCTAGGAGGAATTCCAAAATGTCCTCCATTATAAACATTACTATGAAGCATGGATTTATATTTATTAGTGTTCTATTTTATAATATTCTACATATTTCTGAGAGCCAGCATGGCATAGTAGTTTTGAGTGTTGGACTGTGACTCTGGAGATCAGAGTTCAGTTCCCTGCTTGAACAATAAAACCCACTGGGTGACTTTGGGCAAGTCACACTCTCTCAGCCTCAGAGGGAAAGAGAAGGGTGAGCGATATCTGTGAGGGAAAAAAAGAAAGAAAGAGCATGACTGTGTACATACCTGTGAGCATTAGTGTATATGAGTGTGGCTGTGTGAAAGTATGTACACATGTTAAGTATTAGCTTCTGTCTGATATTGGGGGTTGGACTGGATGGCCCTTGTGGTCTCTTCCAACTCTAGGATTCTATTAAATTTATTTAAATAAAACTATTCTAATTTGAATGTTATTTTTATTCTATTATATGCAACAGAGTGTGCATGTGTGTAACATCCTAATGTAGATGTAAAGAGGTTCACAACAGTAACAAGCTCAGCCACCTCCTAGGAGCCAGCATGGTGTAATGGTTTGAATGTTGGGACTGTGACACCGGAAGACCAGGGTTCGAATCCCTGCTGAGCCATGGAAAATCACTGGGTGAACTTGGCCAACTCACACTCTCTTAGCCTCAAAAGGATGGCTATTATGGCAAAAACTCCTCTGAAGAAACCTGCCAAGAAAACCCTATGGTAGGTTGGCCCTGAGTAAAAAAAACAACAACAACTTGGGCACACATCATCACCACTTTTTTCCCCCTTGAATGCCCTGCATTTCACGGTGCCTCGTCCTCCTAGGCACTTAGTACATCTGGTCACTGGGACTTACTAAAACAAATGACAGTACTTGCCCATAGGGAATCAAGGGGAATACTTGCCCCTAGAGAATCACTGGGGATTACTTGCCCATAGGGAATCATGGGGAATACTTGCCAATAGGGAACCATTGCGGATTACCTGCCAATAAGGAATCATTGGTGATTACTTGCCTATAGGGACTCATTGGGGAATACTTGCCCATAGGGAATCATTGGGGATTACTTGCCAATAAGGAATCATTGGGGATTACTTGCCTATAGGGAATACTTGCCCATAAAGAATCATTGGTGATTACTTGCCAATAAGGAATCATTGGGGATCACTTGCCTATAGGGAACCATTGGGGAATACTTAACTATAGGCAATACTTGTCCATAGGGACTCATTGGGGAATACTTGCCCATAGGGAATCATTGGGGATTACTTGCCAATAAGGAATCATTGGGGATTACTTGCCTATAGGGAACCACTGGGGAATACTTGTCTATAGGGAATCATTGGGGAATACTTACCCATACAGAATAATTGGGGATTACTTGCCTATAGGGAAACACTGGGAAAAACTTGTAAATAGAAAATCATTGAGGAATACTTGTCCATAGGGAAATATTGGGGAATGCTTGCCCATAGGAATCATAAGGAAATACTTGCCCATAGGGAAACATTGGGGAATACTAGTCCATATGGAATCATTGGGGAATACTTGCCCATAGGGAAACATTGGAGGATGCCTGTCCATAGGAATCATTGGGGAGTGCTTGCCCATAGGGAAATATTGGGAAATACTTGTCCATAGGGAATCATTGGGGATTACTTGCCAATAACGAATCATTGGGGATTACTTGCCAATAACGAATCATTGGGGATTACTTGCCTATAGGGAACCACTGGGGAATACTTGTCCATAGGGAATCATTGGGGAATACTTGCCCATAGGGAATGATTCCCCATGATTTTCTATGGGCAAGTATGGTTTCCCTGTGGGCAGGTGCTGTCATTTCTTTTAGTACCTCCCCTGGTCGCCCTGCCCTGCTCCAATGACAGCCAATGCCAGGCTAAACGTCCCTCACGAAAGCCACACCGCTTTGGCGAGGCAACAAGGGTGTAACTCGCTCCCTTGGTCACAATAACACTCCCGATGCCGGGGCAACCAGGAGGGAGGCAGGGAGGAAGGGAGGCAGCAGCGTCGTCGTCGTGGTCGTCCCTCACTTCCCCACAGCTTCGCCTCAGTGGCACCCCAACGACGACGAGAGAGGGACTGAGGGGTCTGGCATGGAGCCCACCGAGCGTGAGCAGAGCCCCCTCCTGCCACCTATTAATGGGGCCACGGCGGCAGTGCCCACTCTAGCCCCCGCCGCCGCCCCCAATTTCCCTCCCTGGAGACCAAGGTCGGCTCGGACGGCGCCACCATCGCCGTCGCCGCTTGCGGGTGAGGAGTCGGACGCCATTTTGTGCGCCTCAACTCTGAAGCGAGAGAAACGCCTGAGGGAATCTAGAATTCCTCAATGAGCATGCGCAAAAGAACGCACGCATGCGCCTTGGCCTCCGCGACGTCGTTTGCCCTTTCTTCCTGGCCTGGAAAGCATCCAAGTAACTGAACGCTCTTATAGTGCTGCTCTTCCACTTCTCCTGTTGCATTCTGGGTTTTGTAGTTCAGTGAGGCCTAAGAGCTCTCTGGCTGAGGATTCTTCTAATCTAATAAGTTAGTGTTTCCCAAATTTTGGTCCTCCTCCAAGTGGGTTTTTTTTGAGGGGGGGGGCTTCAGCTCCTAGAAGAATCAGGAATTCTGGGAGCTGAGGTAGAAAACTATCTGGAGGAGCAAAGTTTTGGGGAAACACTGTTCTAAATGCTCCTCCCTCAGCTGCAAAAATCCCAGAATGCCACAGGAGGCAGCCAGAGGAGTAAAAGTGGGATTAGCAGCACTATAAAAGAGTTTAGTGTGGTAATTTCCTGTCAGTTGGGAAATGGCTCTACAAGGTTGAGCCTTCCCTTCTCTCAGGGGCCAGGTGTCCTCCTTTTCCAGGACATTTGCCCTACATTTCAGCCTTCTGTCCAGGAGGGATTTCAAAATGTCCACCTTTTTCAGTATGACTAATAATGTCATTATCACATTACACTGATATATCACTATTATGCCACTTTAACAGCTATGGCTGCCTCTTGTGGAATTATGGGATTTGTAGTTCGGCGAGGCCTAAGGGCCCTCTGGCTGGGAATTCTAAATACGCCTCCCTAAACTACAATTCCCAGGATTCCATAGGAGGTAGCCTTCGCAGTTAAAGTGGGATAACGTCCAAAAAAAAACCAAACCTGCAGAAATAATCCAGTTTGAGACCGCTTTAACTGCCCTGG